GGCTCTGCAGGAGCTGGCAGAGGCTGCCCAGCAGGGAGGCCATGGGGCACAGAGCCCCAAGGCTGCTGGGGCACCACGGCACAGGGGCCGTTCCCAGTTGCAATGCTCCTGGCCTGGGCTTGGCCTGCACAGGGGCTGGGCCACCATGGCTGGGCCAGCACAGAGCCACAAAGGGGCCACAGAGACACTGCCAGGGACTGACAGCAAGGCCAGGCACACACAAGCAATTGCTGAGCATGGCCTGCGCTGGCCAGGCCTGACTGTGCCAAAGGCAGAGCTCAGCTTCCCTGGGGGCTGCAGGAACAGTCCAGAGCCCAAAGAGTCTCCATGGCTGTGCTGGAGACCAAGGCTGCAGGAGGGAAATGCAGGGCTGCTGCGGGACGGGGAGGGCATTGATTTCCAGCACACATCTCAGCTCTCTGATGATCCTGGCACCATGCTGGGCCCTGTTTCAGACTGGAGCAGAGCAGATGTTGATGGGACAGGAGCCCTGCGGGGCTGTCAGGGACCTGCAGCTTGCAAGGTGCTCTGCTCTCCCCCAGGTGCTCTCGGAGTGATCCAATCGTAGCTGGGCACCTCAGGGCACAAGAGGCACTGCCTGTTCATGGGCGCACAACTGATGTCTGCCTGGAAAGGGGCTCAGGTTTTAATACCTGTTAGTTCCATAATATACAAGCAAATATTGATTATCTGTGCAATTTGAGTACTCTTAAGGAATGGCAACCTTTTCCCACCAGAAACGGGGATTTCCTGGAAGCGTACTGATGGCAGGAGAAGAAATACTGATCTTCCCATCTACTTTTGTCACCAATAATCAGTCTATTATTTAATTCCTCTCTTTTCTATCAAGTGCTTCCATCTCTCTTGGTTAAATGGCCATGTCTAGGGACATCTATTCACCAGAGCAGCTGGATATTTCTTCTTCCCATTGGTCCCAGATTTCCTCCACCAGATGCTCTGTGGTCATTCAAGTGCCTCATAACTGACTGGTTTCATGCTTTGGCCTTCAGGGAGTTGCCCAAACTTTCTGAAATTTAAATAAATATCACATAAGGCGACATCTTAATTGTCTTTATATCTATTACAGAATTACCTTTTCTTATATCTATGTCTAAAACTGTTCCTGCATAAAAATCTATTGGGGATGGTGGACATGTCAGATGATGCTGGGACATTCCAGAGAGCTGAGAGAAGAGCTGTGGTGGTTATTAAACTGTTCAAATATTCAATTTGTGTTTGTTGGCACGAAACCTTTCTGTGCCTCTGAGTGTCACCAGTCCCTGAGCCCAAAAGACATAAACCTGCTGAGTTGTGGGTCCCACTGCAGGGGCACTTGGACCTTGGCTCTGCACAGGAGAGCTCTTCATCCCATTTCTCTCTTTTCCTCCCTCTGAGCATGGAGGGAGCTCCTGACTTCAGCCTGTGACTTGTGTGTGCAAAGAGCAAATCTGGGCAGAATCAGTGCAGGAAGGCTTTGGGGGGACCTTGGGATCTGTGCTGGGCACAGAAGGTGCTTTCCATTGTTCTGAGGCTTTCTGCTGTGCAAAGTGGATTCAATATCCAGCAGATTAATGACTTTTGCTTTTGATGGAGCTGTGCCTTCCCTTGGCTTTGTTGGCTGACAATAAATGAAGATCCTTCTGTGGCTCAGGCAGCTCCTTCTCCAAGGAAAGCAGGTGGGAGTTGGAGCCAAGGAGCTGAAAGCTGCAGGTGCAGCCTGGGCTGGAGGGAGCTCAGATTTGCACAAGGCTGCTCTGAGTGCCAGGGCTTGGGTGGGGGAAATGGTGGGGTGGGGG